CATATAAAATCAGAAGAATGACAAAGTATTGAAAGCACTTTAAAATTTCTATAATTTATAGCATACCATGTTCGTAAAACGTCTGCCAATTAAATCTGTATAGCTTCTTAACCAATTATATTTGGTAAAAATAAATATATGCACACAATTAACTAATATTATAGTATTATTTAATATTGAAAAAAATATTACAATAAAAACACCTGTTATAAATCACATTAAGTTTTAAAACTAATGCAACATTACATTGTTTGCGCCTTCCTTGATTCACATACATTATATTCTTAATAATTAGGATAATTTTAAAATGAACGTTGTTGAATTCTGTACTTTGGTATATAATATTGGTATATAATCAGTGAGTATTATTCGACATTGTTTCTCGAGTTACGTCCAACTTTGTGTCAAATCGTATGAGCTGTTTGTTAGGCATAGGCGTACAGAGGAAAATATGCACAACCGAGAGCGAAAATGATATAGAAGTATATCGTCGTTTGCTATCCAAAATTGAAAGTAGTACACTGAGTTTGATTAAATCGATGTATCATCAATCCTTGACATTTTCATAAAAATCAGTTGAAAGGTAGTGAATGATACGTTAGTCACATGGAGTTAAATTCAGACAGTCATGCACTAGCGGATCCAGGGTTTATTTTTGGGAATGTGCTTCAGCTTTTTTTTCATAAAAATGACGATAATTACTTTGTAAAACAAGAAAGAAACTAACTATCTATATGAAATGGAGTTTAAGTGATTCCTTAAGTCCTTTTGAATGTAATTACACGAACAATAATACTTTAAGACATAATTTTTTTCCATAAAACATGGTAATATCTTACTATTTTGGGGGAAGCCTCCTCCACTCTCCCGTCATTGAACCAAATTTGTTCCTTACTGTCCAAAACGTTTATACGAAAAAGTGTTTTAATCTCCCGAATAAAACAACGCTCTCCCCTGTTAGCATCGATTGTAAGGAAGTAAACAAAACTTCGTTAGCTTTCTGTATTTTATTGATTTTTTATTATTATTCTGGTTTATTATTTTTATTTTTTTTTTAATGACTGGTCGCTTTGTTTTCTCAAATAAAATTCTGATCTTATTCATCTAATCAAAAGTATTTGTACCCATTACGTGTATCAATAAGGTAGGAATAATGCGAATTGAATACAGGTGAAACCACAGAATAAAGCGAGGTAATTATTTATATAATAAGAGCTGCACTAAGCTGTAATATATTAGGGTAACATATATTACAGCGGACGGGTTGGTGACAAGGGTACGTTAATAGGACACGATAAATGTCGCCGGTGGTTTCCTGGAAAGGGGCGATATGGAGTCATGGCTGTGATTAATGTTTCTTGGACTCGGACGCGGCGTTGGACACAGCATGGCGTGGCCACGATTCTCCATAATCTTTGAGGAACTGTCTCGGCTGTCTCATCTTTGACGGTATTCAGGAATTCCTCGTCATCTCGAGAAGAATGTATTTTTGGAGGAAAATAATTTTATTCCATAATTATTAATCTAGATTGATACCAACAATTCTCATTTCATACAATAAAAAATTATTTTTTATTTTTAATTTTAAAAACTTCGATGGCATAATTGCTCATTTTCTTTAATTTTCTATCAATTTGATTCAATTTTTAAATCTTGTTTTGAAGTCCTGTCTCTTTTAAAGACTTGATCACATTGTTAAAGTAACTGCGGTCTTAAGTTAGTGCCTTGGCGAGGAGTCGAACATATGAAGTATGAATCAGAAGCATTATTGGTTTAATAAGAACACTCAAATTATACATATGACACCTACTAAGCAATAATCGATCTTATCACCAATGCTTAGAGAAATGTTTTTCAATTTTGTTTTACTTGTTACGAACTATACAAATAATTTAAAACTAAAAAAAAACAACACAATTTTAACAGTACATTCTTCCTTCAGTGTTTTTCTAATTTGTGTTGTTAAAATACATCCAGTTACAGTCGCAAAAAAGACAATGCGTACCTATTTTCAAAAATATTTCAAAAAAGTCAAATGAAAACAGTGAAAGAGGCTATTTTTATATTTTTATTGGTGTTGTACAGCTTTGGAGGGGTTGCTTTAATTTTGTTAGATACCTTATTAACTTAGTTGTTATAAAAAATTCTACTTTTTTTTTTAAAAGTCTCCAGTATTATAGGTTTTATGATTTCAAAATTAAAATATAATATCGATTATATAAATTACTATTATTTATAAATTAGCCTATTAACCTAGGGTTTTCCAATCATGAAATCTAAAACTCGGAAAAGTCAAGCATTTTCATAAGAAAAATTAGATAGATATATTAGGAATATAAGTTTAAGGAGTAGTTACATTAAATTTATTAATATAAGTTTAAGTAGATATAAGATTAAAAAGCAGTGTAAATCAATGAGTGAGGAGAGACTGTACTCCTATACTCCGGGTCCTGGGTTCGAGTCATTGGTTGTTCTGTTATATTAGCCTTTGATTGATCTCGTGGTGAGGAAATTATCATTGGTTTGAGCGTGATATCGTCAAATCCTCTTCTACTAAATCTCTGACCCTTCTGAACATTCTGAACCTAAGACATGGATTGTTTTGGTACTTTTTATGCTTAAGTTCAAAGTTTAATACACTTAAACTTGGCATGGACTATAGTCAAGTTCATCGAGTATCGTTTATTAATTTTAACATCGCCTAAATTTTTGATTAAAATGTGTTAGGTACCTGAGTGGATTAATTTTATCACGCCCAATCGAATGGTAAGCCATGAATTAGTTAAATATATTTTACAAGAAATATACAATAATTTGTAATAAGGTCGTTAGCAGCGGATTAGGATTTTTTTTTTCGTTTACATTTTTACACATTTTTTCATTTTTTCGATTACATTTTTTTTTTGTTTTTAAGCGGGAAGAATTGAACTAGGCGAAGTAAGGATTCACATGTGGACACGCAACAGACCCTAACCTGGAATATGTCAGAACCGTACGGTTTTGCGGGAGACAAACAGCTGATCGGTTCTGGCGCCAAACCACTCCCGCCAAGACCTCTCAGCTAGATCGCCCTGTTTTAGTCCAATTTGTCTTCCTTTTCCAGGCGGTTGTTTGTACTCTATTTGCCTTTCCCATATTTGTGGTACCCTACCAGAGATGGTATGGTTGATCTGTATTCGACTAGGATACAGTTAAAATTATTGTTTTTGTTATTTTTTTTAAACTTGTTTATTGAAAATATTACAATCTGTCTCAAAGGACATTTATAATAGTGTTCAGAGATCACATTCACACTCTGTGTACAATAAAAAAAAAGTATACAGTAAAATAATATATATACAATAAATAAGTATAAAATAACCTATAAATAAATAAATAAAAAAGAACACATACATAGCTGTATACACTATTTATTTTTTTATTATTAGAAATGGAAAAATGCAAAAAAAAAAAAAAGAAATGTAGGTACTGGTATCCTTTTGCTACTCCAATATGGCGGCAAGTTTTAAGATCATTCAAAACACGTTGTTCCGAGATTCCCGATCAATACCGAAAGTATCCTAGTATTGGCAATGCTGTTTTCATGTGATTTCGATTTCGTCGACGTGTTATTTAGGCTACATTCTCGCCTTTAAATAATAAAATACCTGATAAGGGAAACTTTTTCTGCTAAGAAATAAGTCGATATGGTTATTTTGCCTTCAACACAAAATGCAAAAATATTTTTGACATTCTCACATCCTTACTAATAGATAGGGAGAAAATACCTCTAATTGTTGGTGTTGTGCCTGTCAGGCACATCGATCGAGTCATTCTGGTGTGCCTGTATCATTGCGCCTTTTTTCTAGAAAATATTTCTTTTTTTACATTTTTCAATCGTTATTTTAGTATTTTCCTTATTGTTTACATTCTAAAGATTAGTGGTAATTAGGTTTAGTTTAATATGGCATTTTAGGGACGCTATGGTTTTTTTTTCATAGTGTGCTTGATAGATTCACCGCGCCGCTATATTAAGAATCCTTGCCCTTCGGAGGGTTAATTGGAGAGAAATATCAGATATTCGACAAGAGGAAGTAAAACGAATACACAACAAGCTCGAACGATTTTATTTTGAAATGGTCAGAGACGCCAGTCCATCCATCATCAATCACACGCATTGTTCTAACAGAAGATTAATAAAAAAATTATAAAATGTTTATAGAAAAAATATGAATAACAAAGTAATATAATGACATTTTGATCGCTGCGAAAATTCGTAGCATCATAATTATGGTCATTTGTAACTATAAATAACAATAATCCAAACATCACTTCGGTGAGAGTGGTTATCAGAACAGAATCATACAAATTCTATTGATTTTTTTATATTTTAACAATGGTTATTGAATTCTATAATCGATAAAAAGGACCGGGGTAGCTCAGTGGGTAAGAACTGTCTTGCAATGCTCAAGGTCCCAGGTTCAAATCCGGCTATTACAAGTTAAAAAAAAAAAAAAAAATTGATCGATCACAGGATCGCGAGACCCTCTTGTGCCACAACCAGCCTCTATACAATGGGTACGCTTATTTAAATAATTAGTTAAGGAGGAAAACCTGAGGGGTGAGTGTGATTTCGGCTCCATTATATCCCTTGTGGTTAGTTTTTTTTTTTAGTTCAGTAACAATTTCCTCTTAAAATGCTGGTTAATTTGCAATCATGAATTGGAGAACGGTGAATTCGACTTCTTTCGGACAATATCGGTTATTTTCGGGAATCATGGAGTAGCGTGTTCCGAGTTATCTTGAAACATCCCGCCATCTTTGAATAGGGAAAGGGAACTAATATCAATTTGGATATTCACGCAGCTCTTCTTCCAAAACTGAAGATGGCCGACGCCTTCACGACGAGATTATTAAGGCCACTGATGAGGCACGTTCCGGACGATTTTCGGTAACAGGTGATTTATAACTGCCATATATCATGAAGGCGTTGCCTTATAGTCATGTATGTAAGTCGCTGTTCCGAATGTTGATGTACCCCCTAAATGTGTTCCTCCGCCTTGTTCTCCCTGTCGTTGGTGAGTAATTGTTATAAATAATTATAACTTGTGATAAATAGATAATGTACCAAATAGAGGAGGTATCAAACATTTTCTGTATCGATATATCGATTTCGAGTTTATGATAAGAGTGGAAAGGTTAGTATTAACAACGTTACAGCAGATTAAAAATGATAATTACTGTTAATATCAAATTTTTATGATAGCCCTCTGCATTAATTTAATTATCATAATGTTTGTATGTTTTCTAAATATTTCAACATTTTTTTCCTTTATAATACTATGCAAAAAATAAATATAACCTTTATTGTGATATTTTTGTTGTTATTGTCTTATGAAATAAGTTTTACAATGTAAAGAATTTCGAATTCAGATTAATATTTTCTTCTCTCACTTCTATTGCTACTAAATAATTAATATCAGATAAAATAAACATTTATGTGCGATGCCACTTGGACTTCACTGTTTGGACAGTAATATTAAAGAAATAAGGTAAAAAAATCGTCAAATACATCACATAAAATTTGACATTTTCCAAGACCAATCAAATCCGCCAATCCATCTCTTCCACTGCCATATTCATCGTCTTAGATTTCCTGAAATGGAATGAAAATATTTATTTGTTGAATATTCCAAGGTAAAACCGTTTCGTGAATTCCTAATGTAAGATTATATCGTAATATATAACATATTATTTAATGATGCTATGACGAATTTGTTTCGTCCCGATCCTTCGAATTGAAGAAAACACCTTTTTTCGCATTTAGTTTTCACTTTCATTGAAGTCATTTGCAGTTTTTGTATACACTTAATGTAAATTTTTGGTAAATAAATTTTTCTCCCCTCTCTTAACAAAACGTTCCACCTCCTCCTTTAAAATGTTAAATTGAATACATTCACTGCCTCATATCATAAAGGTTATTTAATATTAAAGACAATTATGTATGACAAAACGTGAAGATTATTTATTATAGTTTAAAATTTTAATGTACGGAAAATTAACCAAATTTTGAAAATCTGTAGTTCGAAACTTATTAAGTTTACCAAGCCTGTTCTGGTTTCAAATTATAATTTATTTAATCGAGTTAAAAAATTTATGGAGTTTATCTGTTTGTCGAAAATGTACCCCTTCATGATCAAAATGGGGAAAACCGACAAAATTACTCAAATATAACAATTTTGGGGATATCCACGTGATCGAAAATTTGGATTTTGCATCTCATTCACGTACCATACTACATTAATGGATGTATGCATAACTCTCCCTAGTATATTCTATTCTCATACAATTATGTTTTATGTTATTTTAAAACTTAAATATAAGGGTTAAATATTGTTTTAATATTATTTTTTTGTATCATATGCAAAGATTATTTGACCATAATAATAGTATCAACCAGCTATTTAATTAATTAAAAAATTCAGTTAAATCAATTATAAAAATAAATCTGTATTTTTAAGTTTTATTTAATTTAACACATTAATTTGATTAAATAAATAGAATTATATAAATTGATTTTTAAGTAAATTATTAAAGGCATTAAACTAATAGCGTTTAGTTACAAAATGGCTGCTGGTAGAATGAGCACTATCGTAGAGAGAGCAGTGTACTAAATCAAGTCCATTGGACCGGACTGGACTCCAATATTTCTCACCTCTTTAGGAGACCCAATACAATACTCTTACCTCCTTCTCCTTATTTCTGAGGAACCAACATCAAATACAATCTCACCATGCTTCTCTTCGTTTATAATAATATATCTTAAAATTTCGGATCTCTCTGTAGCGAACAATTTAATCCGTGTATGAAATAAGGTTGGCGACATTTAGCTTGGCTTTGCTCCAGTTCCGATAGGACATTGTAACTTTACCGCATCTCGAAGTGCAGATAAGGCGAAATTTCTCGATGAAGTCCTCTCTATTTAAGGGACATTTCTGTTTAAGGAACAATTTCGGATTTACCGACTATGAAATATATAAAAGCAATACTTTTGAAACCTTGTTTTTAGGAACACTTTAGATAGAGGACTTGGGCCAAGAAAATTAGATTTGAATGTTTATTACGAACTCTCGATGAAGGACAGCGTACAGTTTTTTTGGGAGGGAGGGAGAGAGAGGGAAGAGTTTACACTTAACCAAAAAATTAAAGGTTACTTGCGAGATCGAACGAGAGAATCCCTTAAAGATTAATAATCGCTGTATCTGTATGTAGCTGTCTGTATACAGTAAAAGTAGGCCGAAACGAAGATAGAAAAATTGCGTTAAGGCTGATCTTGAAGGGTTTGGTTTGGATGATAACCATTGGAGGAAGCTGTGTAGACTGGTGGTATCGGCATCGAACCTTCGGGTTAGCTAAGTCTTTTATTAATATTATTATTAAATATTTTTTACTTACATGTTTTTCTTCTTATTTAATTTTTCTCAATTTTTTTATTATAGTATGAATGTACACATTGATCATAAATACCCATGCCCTTGGTTGAGGGAAATTGTATTATTATTCTGCCAATAAAAAAAATAAAAAAATTATTAGTTGTTAAATCGGGACTGAAGGTCCATAGGACATTCCTTAAATTGGCTGCAGATACACAGATCCTTCTAAAATTAAAACTTAAAAAAAAATATTTAAAACAATTAATTTTGAACACTTCTATTTCTTTTTATTTATATATTTTTTATTTTATTTAAAATATATTAAATGTTCTACTTTTTTATTAACTTCTCAATTTTAAAATTTTCGTTACCTGGGACTAATATTCGACAGAAGGATGACCTGGGGCAACATTTACACTTCGACGAGAAACGTGCCCACCAGTTTATATAGGAGATAACCAAATTCCTCAGACAAAATGAAACGACAGACCTTAAACAAGCGACTGAAAATACTGTACTGACTCTTTTCTAAATCGAAACTGAAAGTTCGACAAAAACTAAATACATACTCTTACCTACTCAAACCCATCTGGACATACGTCTCTCAGATTTACGGTTCGGCAAAAAAGACGCACTTACAAAAAGTACAGTCATTTTAATCCAAATTTTTACGACTTATAATAGGTGCTCCCTGGTACGTCAACAACAAAACTTTACAAAACGACTTACGACAACCAACTATAGACCAACACATACGTACTCTCTATTCTCCATCTCAGACTACACGGACACACAAACAGACTTATAAACGACATGGCTACGACTAACATGACCATCAGCAGGAGACTAAAAAGGAGTTGGATGAGAGATCAAATCAAAGAATTAAATAATGACCAGGAACTGATGCTGTTGGTTACTATAATTCTTCTTGCATATAATGCCAATCCTCATCACATAACACATCTGCTGATTGCCAACACCATGACAGGTGCGGATAAATAGTAAAAGAGAAAAAAAAAAGTTCTTAACATATCATGTCGTTAAAAGTCTCTATGTTTTTATACGTTTATATATTTATACATTTGTTGAAAAAGAAAAAAAAAATCATAAGCATTGTTGTAGATTCAAACAAAATTTAGACCCTTTGATACTCTCCAGCATATACTATTTCAATTTCCATATTTTAATGTATACAGGTCTTCCCATAATTAGATGGAAATTTTTTATAGCAGACGTCAAAGGCGGCAAAAATGGCCCGATTTCCAGCAGGAAAGTAGAAAGCAGTATGAAATTTATTTTTTTGCTTTTTTAAGTATGTCACATTTTTTGTTGACTAGGAAACGATAACCAAAGAGCTAATTGATTTAATTAATAAAAAACTACTGCTCGGTGAACTTGAGAAAATATACTTCAATGCAAAGTAGAATTTTTTATTTTTAATATTATTTAAAGAGTACTTTTGAGCGGATAAACTATGCAAAGCTAGATTTTAACAAAAACAAAATGATTAATTATTCCCGTTTTTTCATCCTTCAATTTATTTATACACAATTTTAAAGAAAAATCCTCGTTTAATAGGTTTGAATTCATGTTAATTAAGTTGAGGTTTACTAAAGATAAACTCATGTTGTGTAAAAAGAAAAATATTAAGAAATTTTACATTCTTTCTCCTACAAGTACTTGAGTTTTCAGAAAAAATGGCCACCATAATTTATTATAAGTTTTTTGTAGCTCTTGAAGTGTGTCCCCTTTTAAAATTTTCCTCTAATTAAGAGACACCCTTTGTATTAATATAAAATAAAAAAAAATAAAAAGCTCTAATGAAGTAGGGTAAGCGCACCAATGATGGACATAACTAAGGAAAGTTTTGTCTTTTTAGCTTTTACCTGCCATAATTATTATAGTTATAAGCGGACCCTACACGGTCATTCGGAATTGCACTAATGACGTTCCGAATTATCGTGTAAGGTAGTGAATAAAGTACTGATGGTGGTGGGCTGCGGATTTCCGAACATCCGGAAATCAAAGGTTCATTCACGAGAAGTGGAGAGGGGACTGAGGTAAAAGTAGTGGGGAGACTAAACATACTACTGGATAGGTTAGGTTACCTAGGCCTCACAACCATTATACATTTCTGATTTTCATTATATGTAAATAGTTAAATAATTTTTCTTATCCCTTGTTTATAATTTTAAACCATCTTCAACTATTCCTTTTAAATAGTCAAGTGGGCAACAAATTAAAAAAAAAATGAGGAAACTTCACAATTTACTTTAAGCAAAAAAAAAAAAAACTTTAACGTTGTTTATATTTATCAGTTCTTTTCCCATTTTCCTCAACAAATTTATTATTTTCGCAATATCTTTCCTTAATTTTTGTAAGTAGTAGACTTATATTTTACTAACTTTTGTCAAAACGATTTTCTATGAGACTAACGTTACTACTAGATAGATTAGTTTACCTAGGTCTCGTTATTAAGTAAATAATTTCATAAAAGTAAATAGTTGTTTATATCCCTATTCTATATTATTATTAACCATTTCCAACTATTTTTTTCTTTAAATAGTCAAGTAGGCAATAAATTAGAGAGAAAAAAAAGTGGAAACTTCACAATTTACTTATAGAAAAAAAATCTTTAACTGTTG